TTAAATATATACATAATTAAAATTTTAATAAATATTAATTAACAATATGCTAAACTTTTATTTTAGCTTAGTAATAGAGGTACTTATACTTAATAAAATTTTTAGTAATTCTAAAAAAACATGTTAAAAATATTCTAGCGGGCATATTTGCCCGCTGGACGGTTTAAGGGATAATATACCTTGATGATGCGTTAATTTACTCTGAAACACTAAAGGAACACTATACTCACATAAGATTGGTTCTGGAGCAGCTACAACAATTTGGGTTGTATGCTAAATTAGAGAAATATGAGTTTAATAGAGATTATGTAAACTTCTTAGGTTATGAAATTTCACTATTAGGGATCAAAATGGACTAAAAAAAGTTAAGAGCTTACTTTCTTGGCCCACACCAACTAATATTCAGAAGATACAACAGTTTCTAGGCTTTGCAAATTATTACAGAAATTTTATTAAAAATTATTTGAACTCTGTAATCCACTCACAGATTTGATAAAAAAAGCTCATAAAACCTTTTAGTGATTGGAATTGGCATATATTACTTTTAAGAATCTAAAACAGACATTTACAACTGCTTCTCTTATAGTTTATACAAATCCTATAAAACCATTTTTTCTTGAAATGGATGCATTAGATTTTGCACTTGGGGTGATGCTGTCTCAATCCTAGAAAGATAAATGCCTCCATCCCGTGGCTTATTACTCACAGAAGTTTGCCTTTGCAGAATAAATTATTATATATATAATAAGGAGCTCCTAGCTATTGTTGTGGCATTTAAACAATGGCGCCATTACTTGGAAGGGGCCCAACATAAAATTACTGTTTACTGTGATCACAAAAACCTTGAATATTTTATCTCTGCTCAGACTCTTAACTGAAGACAAGCTCGATGGTCTTTTATATTATCTAACTATGACTTCAAGATTGTATTCAAACCTAGTAGAAGTCTTGGTAAGGCAGATGTCTTATTTTGTAGGCCTGATTATAACCCAAAATATACTGATAACTTTATCTTTGTGCAAACTACCTTGTTGGGACCAAAGTGATTGAAAATTAATGTGATAACTTTGCTTCTTGGAAATTCTACCTTACAAAGTTATATCTATTCTTAGTTAAAAAATGACCCATTAGCTCAAAATATAATTACATATTTGAACAAACCAAATAAAACCTGAAGTTCCAAACCAGATTACCATAAATTCTCTTGTAAAAATATATTAATTTACTATAATAGATTATTGTATGTTTCTCGAACACTGAAAAAGTTAAAAATACTCCGAACTAGACATAACTCAAACATTGCAAGGCATTTTGGTATATTGAAAACTGTGGAGTTAGTAATCAGAGATTACTGGTAGCCAAAACTTCAAATCTTCATATGAAAGTATATTAGTACTTGTGATATATATTTTAGATCCAAAACTTCTTAGCATCGCTCTCATAGGCTATGGTTACCTCTTCTGGTTCTTTCATATCTGTGGTAGTCCATATTTATGGACTTTATAACAGACCTATTCTTATCTTCTGGCTTTGACTCAATTCTAGTTGTTGTTAATTAGTTGACAAAATAGCCCACTTTATTGCTTGTAATAAAAGTATTAGTGCTGAGCAAACAGCTCAATTAAAAGTAGAGTAAATGATTTCTATTTTTAGTAGTAATCACTTGGCAAATATAGGTAAATCGATTTTCATATGTTTTTACTATTTAATTTGCCTAGGTTGTACAAAATTTGCCTAGGTTGCACAATATAAATAACATATGATTATTACCTGATTTCAATTGAATGTTATTGTAAAAAAAATTAGTAACGTGATTACTATTAAAATATAAATCACTTTATCCTACCCTTAATATTAAAAGAAATAATTTGTCTTCATGGAATCCTGGTAGAAATAATTTCAGATAGAGGGCCATAGTTCACTTCTTGATTCTGGAGACGTTTGTTAGAGCTCTTGGAAACTAAAGTTAACTTGTTTTTGGCATTTTACCCCCAGCCAGTTGGGCAAAGTGAATGGGTGAATCAAGTGTTAAAACAATACTTGGATGCACAATAAATTATTAGCAAGATGACTGGTATTATCTCTTATCTTTGGCCGAGTTTTCTTATAATAACTCTGTCTACTCCTTAACAAAAGAGGCTCTATTCTTTACTAATTATAGGCTCCACCCTGCTTTGACCTATATATGCTCTTAATTCTACAGTACTATTTGCTGAAGGCAAAGTTTTATAATTAAAATGAATCAGGAAAAGTCTTGTATGAGAATTGAAAGCTGCTCAAAAATGTTACAAGCAATATGCAGATTTATGGTGCCAAGATGCCTCAAAATTCAATATAGGAGACCAAGTTTGGTTGTTATAGCGTAACATTTGTATCCAAAGGCCTTGTAGGAAGCTAGATTATCAAAGGCTTGGGCTCTATAAGATTATAGCCCGAATTAATCTAGTAGTCTACAAACTTTTTTTACCTTGCTCTTTTAAAATTCACAACATTTTCTACATATCTTTTTTGGAGCAATATATTGCTAATATAATCCTCAGTAGGATACAAACACCCTCTTCTTCCAGAGTTTGAGGTCAATAATATACTTGATTCAAGAAAAATTTAAAAGAAGCTCTTTTACCTAGTAGATTGGAAGAGGTATAACCCAAATGAACATTTCTGGGAGCTGGCAGAAAATGTTATAAATATACAAGAAGCTATTCAAAAGTTCTATCAGCAGTATCTATCTAAGCCTAAACCACATTTTGCTAAGAAAAACAAAGATAGAAAACCAAAGAGAAATGGTCTTGAGGAGGAGATAATGTTACGGTCTAAGCCTCTAACCCATGACCAACCAAGCCTCGAGTTTGTGATCTGTAAAATGGCCCATGATCTAAGTCCCGAACTACCAAGTTTGTAACTCAGATCAGTCTCACGATCCTCTGATCCAATATCACTATTATGCATACAATATTAGTTATTGATTAGATTATTAATTAGTATTGTCATTGTATAAGAAATATAGTCATAAAATTAGTAGTATAATTGTCGCATAAGAAATGTAATCATAAGATTAAGAATAAGTAAATCAAATTAGTAATTAGTAATATAGCAGATTAATAATAAAAGAGAAATAGCAAATATATCTATAACCTTAGTCTGTTCAATAAAACTACTTAATATTGTTTTCTCTTTATTGCTTTTTTATTTTTTGATCGTGATCTGGTACCTAGTGTTCTGTTACAAAAGTCTCGAATATATTAGCAAGATACGATAATCGAAGGCATAAAATCGAACTATATTATTATTTGTATTTATTTATTTATTTACTAATTTTCTAAATAATTTAGATCAACAAATCAAAATAAATAATCTAAAATCATCATTAAGAAATCGAGATTCTGAGATAACTCGACTAAGAACAGTTATTAGTTTAGTTCAGAACAATGTGAATGGAGTCTGAATTAATTAGTAATTATGCTGTTTTGAAACTTATTTAGAAGTAAAACTAGCAGGCTACTTTGTCATCAATAATGTTTCTAATTAAAAGTACAAGAACGCTTTAGGTATTGGAGTTGGGATAGATATGCTTAAACAAAAAATAGCAGACTTAGAAAAGGAATTGAAAAACCAGGTTTAGCTATAGACTTCAAAAATTGTAGAGAAGTATCAATAAAGATGATTTTCTTGAAAGAATACAAAACAATAAGTTAATATCTGTAATAATTAATACTAAACTTATACTAATGATAATTGTTCGAATTAATAAAAAAATATTTATATTTAACTATTAAAACAAAATAATAATCTAATTGTTATTAAAAAAAAAACAATAAGAATTATTACTTAGTATATATACAGTGTATTAATAAAATTATTAGTTTGAATATTAAATCCAGGATGCTAAACAAAAACCCATAAATAGCTCTTAAGGGCAGCGTCATTTATCAGCTAATTTTTTTTTATCAGAGGCTTACCCCCCCTAGTTTTTAATATATAAATTATTAGGTCTTATATATAAAATTTCAATTTTTTTAACTTCTCCCCCCCTAGAAAATCACCTGATAATTGTCAGCTCCCTAAGTGTTTAATCATTTAGCCTTATATAGGATTTAATTCTAATCATGCAATTAAAAATAACTTCTATTAAATAAAAATCATTTGGCATAGTTTATACAGTCAAACCTCCATAAATACAATCTCTATAAATGCAATACCTCTCTAAATGCATGTTCCTGGCCTGGCTGTAAGAAATCATTAGTGCTAAATGCACGTTATATATTCTGCAAATGCATGTTCACTCAAAAGATTTTCTATATTATACTAACCTCCCTAAATGCACGTAGCCAATCAAAATTCAGTATTCAAGTTGTGTTACACAAGCCTGCAGATCAAACATTAAAAGCTGCAATTTGATTGGCTTTCTCTAAATGCAAACCTCTCTAAATACATGATTGAAGCTGATCTGTATACAGTGCACTTATGGAGGTTTGACTGTATAAATATTTGTAAATAGAAATAAAAGTACTAAATAATTTTAAAGATCTTGATAATATAAAAGGAAATACTCTCAATCTCATGACTATTGTATTGTGTGTAGAACACTCTAAATATTGGATAAAATTATTTTGCGTTTTGATCAATGCTTATTATATTGGGTAGAGATTAAATTTGTTAATATAATATTGACTTTGTTGTTAATGCACTTGTTAACCTGCCCTAAAGTTATTAAACTTATCTGACAACATACTTTACATGGTAAGTTATAGTAAGTTACACTATAACTTACATGGTCCTTATGTATTATAATATAGAAAAATTATATAACAGTTTCTACTAGCATTAATATCAACTTAACCTAGCCTCAATGGTTAAACAAGTACAGTCTACTCTCATTAATATCAACCTCGTTAGTATCAACCTAAGCTATAAGATGAATTTTTACAAATTTTTATATATTAAAATTCTCTTATAAATATCAACTTTAATATAATTCATTATTAATATTACTACCAACATGAATTTAAACCAATTCAAATAGGTTGATATAAACAAGGGTATACTGTATTGTTATTAAAATAAAATCATGTAATAAATAGTGCTCCCAAAAATAGTGCACAAGAGTGTTATTAAGCTATGGCCTAAATCAAGTATAAATTATATCACATTTAATAACTTCATCTCTGGGAGTTATTTTGAGCTTATATAACTTATATAAGTTACAATAAAATTACTGATTTACATTAACTCTACCTTACCCAAAATGGTTCGAATCTAAAATATAACTTACAGCTAAAGTTGAAATTTGGGGCCTCAATTTAAAAACATAACCCTATCAAACCCCACCTATACTCTTTAATATCAAATCTATTTAACCCTAAAAAAAAAAAAACAAAAGACCCAAAAATTTTAAACCTTATGTAAAAATAGATCTAAATTTTGGCATTAGCTGCAACAATACAGTATATGAGTGCTGCCAAGTCATAGACAGACTTGGCTGTTTAAATCAATTTAATTTACATTATTTATACAGTTTAAAGTATTTTTTTTAAAAAAAAAACTATGAAAAATAAACAAAAAAGAAGTATATAGAAAGGTTTATTAAGGTTGTAGAACTTCACTATTAAAAATAATCAAAATTCTTTTTTGATTTAGAGAAGTTAGCATAATAGCAACTTCTTAAAGATAGATAGAATTAGATTATCATCATGCTAACTTCTCTAAAACAAAAAAGCTTTACAGAAACTTTGATTTTTTAAAAATATAAACAGCATATATCTAATATATAATAAAAGTCTTAGTAAGCTCTGTTAACTCTCTTGAAAAAACTTATTAATATTATAAATATATTATAAACATATTATAAATAATTCAATCTATTTATTATAGGACTATTATATTATTAAAATATTGGAATTTTTTTATTTTATTTTGTTATTATTATATAAAAGGGTGAAACCCACACAGAGATAGTTACGTTGTTGATTCAGATCTTACTTAGTTAGGGTTAGTGATAGGGTAATTGCTATTATAGATAGTGTTATGCATCAATAACGTAACCACTTTTGCGCAGGTTTCACCCTGTCGTATTATTATTATTATTACGTATTATATTAATAGCAGATTATTTTATATATATAATTATATTGTATCTATACAACAAACATATTATTAGTAATAAAGTTACAAGAGAGTTAGCAGAAAGAACAAAAATATAATTATTATATACTTAATATATATTAGAGTTGCAGGTGAAACTAATCTTCAATGTGCACTGATGGTGCACCAGGTGAAACTGGTGAAACTAGTGCACCGATAGTAAAGCTAGAGTTATAGATGAAGCTAATCTTTAATGGTACACCGATGGTGCACCAGGTGAAACTGGTGAAATTAATTAGTTTCACCTGCAACTCTAATATATATTCAAAGTATATTTCTTATATACTATTTTAATCATATAATAATAATATTATTAATATATAATAAATATATTGTAAATTAACTCTTTCCAACGATCATTTGTACCAAAAATCCAAACACATTTTTAGTTAAAAACAAAGTAATGCTTGTAAAAATGGAGGCATACTAGCAGCTATAAGTTAGCAGTTGTTATTTAGAGGTAGTTCTCATATGCTACCTGCTAACTTCCTCAGAGTTTATCACTTACTGCTTGCACAGCACTTGTTGTTTAGAAGTAGTTCTTATACACTACTTGCTAACAAGCCCAGAGTTTATCACTCACTGCACAAAGAAGGTATAGGTGCCTCACCCCTTTTCTAGAAGAAGGTTTAGATGTTGTTGAGTCTTTAAATGGATGTAACTACTGTTCTTGGGTGCAAGTGGTCTCTTCCTAGGTGTTTTTCGCTTGGCCGGTCTTCTCCTAAATTTTTGATAAAAAGTGGACAATTTGGCTTACCCCCTTCAAAAGATTAGCAATATTTACCTCCCAAATTCGGAAGTACCCAGGAATGCAACCACATGCCTTGTTTATCGGTGGATACGATTCGTGATGTAGTCTATGGATACGGGACTTCCACGTGACTGGAATCGGGTCTCTAGTAGCGTCCGAAGTTGGTCGGTAGTCGGATAGTAATTTTATAGTTGAGATATACAAATGTTGCAGTTGTTATAAAATTTTTTTTTAAACCTGGCACAGGTTATAATAGTGTATTTCTCCTTTCTTTATTATATTTGTACTACTTCTTGATAGAGGTAGCTCCTCCTTTGTTGGCCCTTGGGCTTTTTTCTTTGTTTTTCTTTTTTTACATTTCATTGTACCCCTTTTATTTTTTTCTTTAAAAATTTCCCTTTGTTTTATTTGTTTTTTTTAGTTAGTTTTTTATTTTGTTTTCTTGGTACTATTGGTGGTTTTGTATCGTTATAAGATCATCACTTTCTTTTGCTCTCGGTAAAGAAAGAGAATATAAAGAGAAAAACTTTGACAAGCTGACAAAGTTTATCTAACTTGTATACAGGTTGGTACGACAAGTCGCATGTGGGCATGTTTATTACAGCTAGGTGATGTCAGGGCCGCAATCGCAAGATATATTGTTTTGGTTATGAATAATAATATATTGTTTGAGAGAGTTTAACTCTCACCTTAATGAGTCTTAATAAATTGAGTACTGGCAAGACTGTTAAAGAATTAAATATATATATATATATATATATATATTGTAAACATATTTAGCAAAAAACATAGATTTCTGTAAAGAAAATTTTGATTATTTTTAATAGTGAAGTTCTACAACCCTAATAAACTTTCCTATATACTTCTTTTTTGTTTATTTTTCATAGTTTTCTTTTTTTTAAAAAGTACTTTAAACTGTATAAATAATGTAAAATTAAATTGATTTAAATAGCAAATCATACAAAAGTCTGCCTATGAGATGCCAAGAGAAAAAGGCCATTCAGACTTTC